GGCGCAGACCCAGTCCCGGCTGCGGTCTCCGAACCGGTCTCAACGAGGCTGTGGATAGCAGCCCTAAAATGCCCGAAACTCGTGAATAAAACGCTGCTGTCGCCGGCGCCCCGGCCTCCTGATGGCGCGCAGTACTTGGTTATATACGGCGCAGACTCGGGCGCTTGGAAAAGGACACAGATGAAAGTCTGGGCCTGGAGGATGCCTCCGCCAGACCAGCTCCCTGCCCTCCCTCGGGTCTGCGGGGCCGTCGGGACAGCCGGGAAGCGGGGCTGTTTCCCAAACCGCGGGGCCTGCGTGGAAGGGCGGGAAGGGCGAGGAGCGCGAAAGTAGAGACCCCAAAACCGCCCTCCAGAGATCAGCCCGGAACCTTCCCCACACACACCCACCGGGGCCCGCCAGGGTGCTCTCTCTGGGCGCCTCCGGGGCTGCCTGGGGAGGGCTGTCAGCCCTGGCCCGTTGCGGGCCAGTAACGAGGCTTCAGAAAAGGATTCCGTACCAGAACAGGGTGTATATCCTTATTCGGGTTCCCCAAGACCAATAGACACGGCCTCCCCAGCTCTGGGGCACACACACCCAGTAGGAGTTGGCATTTGCTTTTATGTTGTTGGTATTAGTTCCTTTGAAAAGGGGGCTCATGGAAAAAGTTGTATTTTCTTAGAAAACCAACAAAAAAGGATGGGCGGCAGTGGTTTGCCTTGAGGCAGTTTAAGGAAAGAGATGCAACCCAGTGAGAAATAGCAGGTATATATATATGTACTAGCGGCTGTGCACTTGTCACGCTTTGAAATCTTGGGCCACTCATTCGATATTCTTGAGTCTCAGTGTCCTGGTCCTTAAAATGGGTTCACTAATTTTATTATCTGCATGTGCTGAGCGCTGGGGACTGAGATGGTCACAAGCACACTGAAGCACAGAGCACGGTGACAGGCGAAGGTGCCTCTGAGAGGACTCTGGTCTGCCCTGGGCACAGAGCACTGGCTGTATTCAGCAGTCCCTGGAGGGGAAGCTGACAGGTTGATTGGAACCAGGTTTGAGGGGTCTGTTGTACCATGGTATGAAATTTAAGACTTAATCAGGGAGGAAATGAGCACCACTAAAGGCTTAAGAAACAAATCAAGGGCTGCCAGAGCTGCATGTTAGGATAATCACTTGGGCAGTAATTCGGGGGTGGATCGCATGGTGAGTTCCTGGAAGAGTAGAGATGAGAAGGGCAGAGACTGAAAGGAGACTGGGCTTCTAGTGGACTGAACATTTTATCGTAAATCCAGTTTTCCACATTATGAATCCTATATACACTGTGAGAGATAGTGTTTAGGCTGGATTCTCTCCTGAAACAAGAATCTGACTGCCAGTGGTTTATTTTGGACCTAGTCCCAGGAAACTTTGGTTGAGAAGTAGAAAATGAGATGGGTAAGTGATAGACGCCAACACAGAATTCATTTAGCCAGTCGGTTACCAGAGTGGATGAATGGGGCTCAAACCACAGGGGACTTCTGAGAGACAGCGTAGTCTCAGAGTCTCAGAGCTGTCTTACCCAAGGAGTAAGGAAATAGTGTTCATTCACTAAATTCTAGACATGGTGGCCTGAGAGCTGTTCCTGGAAGTGTTAACTTCCTGGCATATCCATCCTTCCTGGCTCTTTGGGTGGAGAGAATCCCCAGCCATAACATCCTCCACAGGAAGCTGTCATTTGTTCATGAGGTGAGTTCTGAGGGGACATGGTGTTGTACCGACAACATCTGCAATGCATTTGACTCCTGGAGCTGCCCTGTCTACTGTCCTAGGCACATTAGTAAGCTGTGCCATGTGATTCTCAGGATAGCTCCGTGAGGTGAGAAACACCATGCCCTCCTTACAGAGGAAACTGAGCCTTCACACTGTGGAATGTCAGGCTCAAGGGTTCCTTCGGCTGTGGCAAGATGAGGTGACTCCGTTCAGACTCTTTTCATTTCTTCCGCGTGCTGATGTGTGTGGGCGAACTAGTTCTGCCCTGATGGATGGAATTTAGGGAATTCCATCTCTGCTCTTTTCTTGGCTTTCTAAATATCTCCATTCCACCAAGTCTCCATGCCTTGGTTTCAAGTGTTGTCCTTCTGTATTAGTACAGTAAATCTGCTTTGCAGTCAGCACACAACATATTTAAGAGAAAGTGTTTGTCTTATATGTGTATTAAAGGGAACATAATTAGTCCCTCCAAGGGAATCTCTGGCTGTTTACAAACTTTGGATTATAAATGGAGGCAGCTGATTATCACAGCAACCCAGAGGGAACAAAAACACTACCATTTGAGCTGCCAGGGGAAGAATCCTCTCCTCTGAGTCCCATATAATACTGCTGTTAAGTACTCCCACCTCTGCTCCTCTCCAGTGGAAAGCAGAAAGAGCCATGGTGTATGGCATATGTCCAAATAAACGCAGCAAATTAATTTTGATTTATAAAATTGGTTCCTTGAGCACACGCTCAGTTGTGAAATGTCTTGTATTGTAGGGTGATGTCAAACAGCGGCCACTGATGGTGAAATGTGGTATTACAGCAGCTCTCTCTCCGCGCGTGCGCGTGTGTGTGTGTGTGTGTGTGTGTGTGTGTGTGTGTGTGAAGTGGGGGGGTGGGAGTTGGAAATTTAGGGACACTTCATATAGACTATTACACAAGACAAATGAGGTCTTTGAGTAAGAAGATAAGGAAAATAAAATTAGTGTGATGTCCTAAGCAATTGGGAATAGATCAGGAATTCTTCAGGGAAATATATCACCTCTCTGATGGTCAAGGCCTTCAGTAATATCCTTTAATAGTATACCATATATCCTTTAATTAGTATACCACATTGCACTACCTTTAAGACAGATTATTTGTTGTACATACATCATGATATTTAATCTTTGAAATAATTTTGTGTCATAGGAACTATAAATTTACTATAACCTGAGATACTTTCCAAAGGTCACCTACTCAGTAGAGGTGGGATGTGAAGTGAGGGCTGTTTGAATTTGAAAAGTGGATTCTTAACCATTTTACTATAGCTCTACCATTTTATATTTTGTTCTTTCAGTCATAAAAGTGTTATATAACAGACCAAGAAGAAGGAGACAGGTTTGGAAGGTCAGTAATGGAAAGAGGTAAAAGATTCTAACAAAAAAGCTTAGTACAATCTAGGCACTTATTTTAAAAGATGGGTGCCATCATTTTCTATAATTTGTGTTGATGATATTTAAAAGACAGTGGAATGCAATCATCATGGACATTACATTATTCTTCAGAAAAGAAGTGGAGAGGTATGAAGGTGGAAGGTTAAATTTCCTGTCTATATCTCAGAGGACCAATGCTAAGTGGTCAACTCTACTAGTATCAGAAGGGCTGAGAGCAGTGATGTGTGTATATTTTGCTATTTTGAGTGCTGGCCCTGTGTTATTATACAGTACTGGAGATTAAATGGCAAATAAGACAAACATTCTCATTCCTGGAGGAGAGAGCAGTCTAGTCAAGGAGATGTACTGTGGTACCTAAGTTCACAAACTATTATCTCCACAGTTCTGGTCATAAACCGAATTGGACAAGAACTGAATCAAATTTCCCCATACGCACAACATTGAACCTAAGCAATGAATTTGATTTGATTCTTGTCCAACTCGGTTTGCGACCAGAATCATGGAAAGAATCGAGTTCATGAACCAAGGTGCCACTGTACATTGGTTTAGGTTGAGTTGGCCAGAAGTAAACTTTTCTTAATTCAAAGGTTTGAATCTGAGTGAGTTTATTTGAAATTTGGACCCACAAAGCCCTAGTAGGAGTCCAGACAAGTGAGACAGAGAAGGACAAGAGCTCACTAGAAGAATACGACAGGTGATCAGTGTGTAACTTGGGTTCAACCCTGCTGGAGAAGTCTAGACAATAGTCTTCCAGTGATGGCTTTCAGGCATATAAACAACCCACTGCAGTGTGCGGGGCTTAGATTCGCCACCACTGGACTCTGGGCTGTTCCTCGAGTCAAGCTAAATGGAGTACCCACAACTCCTGCTCTGGGTT